CGTGTGAAACTCCCGTAACTAACTTTGAAAAATACCTTGAGCCACACGACTCGTGTGGCTACCCACACGACCCGTGTGACTTGAAAAACTTAAAATTCTCAACTTAAAATACTCAATCTCGAAAAGTAACTGAAAATAACTGATGAGGGATATTACATATGGGTCTATACTGATTTAAAGAAGAAGGATTGTCACACTTGGGTATCAGTGTTACCAGGGTATGATTCCAATATCTGAGAAATCTGCCTGATTGAAAGAAGCTTTGAACAGCATGACAGAGATTATTTTTTATGACTGGCCAAAAATGTTGATAAAAAAGTGTGGTCATTCCCTCCTCACCAGGGGCTTTCAATGGATTCATAGAAAAGAGGCAGTGTTTAATCTCTTCTTCCTCCACAGTAGCTATAAGATCTTCATTCAATTATGGAGTAATTGATTGAGGAATGAGCTGAATGATTCTTTCTTCCCCCCAAGACCCTTATGATGTAAAGAGATTCTGGTAGAAGGTTAAAATGTAGTATTGCAGCTCCTCTTTAGATTCAAGGTTTCTGTTCCAGTCATCAAGCAATCTGGTTATTGCATTTCTTTTTCTCCTCTGAACTGTAACAACATGGAAAAATCTTGTGTTCTGATCTCCCTCCTTCAACTACATGTTTCTGGATTTCTGTTGCCAAAATAATTCTTCAGAGCAATGAGCATCTTCCAATTCTTTTTTGAGACATTCCCATTCTTCCCAATTATTCCCATTTCCTAGTTTCCTCATATCTTCAAGCTTCAAAGTAAGAGCTGAGATTTTCTTTCTGTTATATGATTCTCGAAGCTTGCTCCACTCAGATAAAGCCATCCTGGTAACTTTGATTTTCTCTTTTAATTGATAGAAGGGTGTGCCCTGCTGGATTTTCCCCCAAGCCTGAGAGACCACTTCCCACACTCCAGGACATGAAAGCCATCTTTTATCAAATCTAAACCTTCTCTTGTGCTTAGTCTCAGGGAGCACTGACTGTAAAATGATCATGCTATGATCCGAAGCACTTCTGATAAGATTAAGAACTTTAGTGGTAGGATATCTAGTCAGCCATCCCAGAGATCCAAATGCTATGTCAAGTTTTTCTTCAACCACACCCTCCTCATCCCCGTTGTTTCACCAAGTAAACTGGTACCCAGTCATATGAAGCTCAATCATTCCCATCTTGGATATGAAGTTCTGGAAAGGAACAAGACTTCTCTGAGTTCTGATTTTGCCCCCTTGTTTATTCTCAGCAAAATGTAAGTCATTCCAATCACCCAAAATGCACCAATCCTCTCCCCAAATCTGTTTGTCTTCAAGCAGGCTGTGCCACTGAGAAGTTCTAGAAGAGAGCTCAGTGGTCATATAAACAAAAACAAGCCAATAAGGTTTATCTTCATGAGATAACTTATATTGGACTTGGATGCAAAAGTTTGATTTTATCAACTGGATTACAATGACACCAATATCCCATCCTAACAATAACCGTCCCTTACTCCCCACAGGATCAACACAACACACTCTATCCTCCAGCCCCAGTT